TGACTTGGGAGCCATTAGCTGCCCTTCCTCTGTGCTGGACAACAGTTCCCAGCCATCATGGCCATTGGTTGAACTGTTCATTGGTCAAGTCAGTTGTGGATGATGGGAGCCCAGCACATAGAGGTCTCAGCTGTATTGGTGAGTCCCAACTAAAAATTATTGTCGTGTGCCTTCAAGTCATTTGTGACTTAGGGTGACTCTAAAGTGACCCTATCATGGGGTGTTCTGGGTCTGAGAGTGTGTGACTCACCCAAGGTCATCCAGTGGGTTTCCATGGCCAAAAGAGGAATCGAACCCTGATCTCCAGAGTTGTAGTCCAACAAGCAAACCGCTATGCCAGATGTTGAATTCATTGCTGGGTAGTGAATCAACATATAGGTAAGCCCTACTGATTTCATAGGTCTACTCTAATAGGGATTGGCAATACAGGCATCAGATGGAAGGCGGTAATGCCATGTTCCTTAGGAATGGATGCTATTGTTGCAACTGGATAAAGGGAGGGAACCGTTCCAGATTGGTGATGGGTTTCTTCCCTTCTCCCCCATTACAGGGTTTGCTTTCCCCGACTGGGCCTACAAGCCGGAGTCGAGCCCCGGTTCGCGCCAGATCCAGCTCTGGCATTTCATCCTGGAGCTGCTGCAAAAGGAGGAGTACCAGAACGTCATTGCCTGGCAGGGGGACTACGGGGAGTTTGTCATCAAGGACCCCGACGAAGTGGCCCGGCTCTGGGGCATCCGGAAATGCAAGCCTCATATGAACTATGACAAGCTGAGCCGGGCCTTGAGGTGAGATTCTGGGGTGGGAGAAGCATTGCAAAAATGGGAAAATTCAGAGACACTGCTGTGTTAAGTCTGGGAAATCAGTCTTGTAGCACCTTTGAGAATAACTGAAAGAGAGAGATTGGTAGCATGAGCTTTCATAGACTTGAGCTCACTTCCTCGGATGCATGGAGTGGAGACCTATAAAAGCAGCAGGCTATGTGTGAGAGCACCAAGAACAATGCAAAATTTGTGGGTATGGAGATGTGGTGGCAAGTTTGGACAAATGCCGGAGGATGTTGCCTAAAGCCAAGGAGAGCAGATAACCCTATGGAATGAGTATTGAGATGTAATGTTGGAACCAAAAATAAGACATGATGCCAAGGTCAAGGGAGATGCCATGAAGCTGGGTTATCATGTGTGTAGTGTGCTAGGAAGCCATGGTTTTGGTTCAATCCACTATTGATGGACTGCAGTTGGTATATATATTCCAATTCTGCTCTCTCTCTTTCCAATCTTCCTTTGGGAGCTTGGGAAAGTTACTTCAGGGACTACACCTCCCAGAATCCCCCAACCAAGCTAGCGATCCTGTGAGTTGTTGTTGTTGTGTGCCTTCAAGGCACTTCCAACTTGTGCAGAGCCTAAGGTGAACTTATCTTGGGTTTTTCTTGGCAAGGTTTGTTCAGAGGAGGTTTGCTATTGCCTTCCCCTGAGGCTGAGAGAGCGTGACTTGCCCAAGGTCACCCAGTGGGTTTCCATGGCTGTTCTGGGAATCAAACCCCAATCTCCAGAGTCATAGTCCAATGCTCAAACCACTATGCCATGCTACTAGTCCAAAAAAGGTAGCAATTTGGAACTGCACAGATTGCACCCAGAAACAGCCAAATTCCTGGACATAGTATGGCAGATCCTGCTCATTTCAACACTTAAACTGATGGATAGCAGCTCAAATTCTCTTCAGCTGCACATTTGATTGCCTGTGTGGTTGTGAAAGGTTGCCGTTCAACACAACAGTTGTGCATAACACAATCAATGCATAACCCCACATACAGAGATTTGTGCTTTACAACACTCAGGTCAGACACTAGATTTTTCACATCTGGGCCAGATTACCAAGCCTTTAGTAGCCTTCTCTTCAGATCTGGGACATTTAATCAATAAACCATTTAGCTTATTTAAAACCAATATTTAAAAAATTCTTGAAAGATGCGAGGATTAATTGCATAGCAGCCACAAGGTTTTGAAGTGATCCCTTGAAAATTTTCAACAGAAAGGCAGGTTAGTGACTTTGGAAGATGTTTGCTCCCTATTACAGGAAGGGTCATCTAAGGTTGTGCCAGAGCTGGGGAAGTTACTTTTTTTGGACTGCAGCTCCCACAATCCTCAGCCAGCATGGCCAGGGCGCTTTGGGAACTGTATTTAAAAAGCCCCCCCCCCCTTCGTTCTGGATTGTGCATGACAAAACACACATGCATAATCCTCTGAAGGCTGAGAGAGCAACCTTTTCATCTCACAGAATTATTGCTTTACTCTCATGCACTTTTGATCAATTAATTAGATGCTTAAAACGCAAAGGCCGGATCAATAAGATTTCTGTAACCGGGTGACAACCGTACTGGGCATTATCATTGCTGCAAACACTGGCCGTAGCATGCTTTCATGCCACAAATCCCATCCTTTCCTTGCATCCTCAGAAGGTGCTTAAACTCTCAGGGACTGGGGATGGGACCCCCGTTTTCTGATCCTTCTTCCCAAATCTTCCTCAAAACTCACTGGAGCTTTATGACTGCCCTTCCCATGAGGTAGCCTTCCTGGTGCAATCGATCGACAGCAATATTTGTTATTGCTTATTAATTAACTGCCCTTCTCTGGCCGCCTGAGATTCCAATGCACTAATTAATATTTATGAGGGGCTAAGCGCTATTGACACTTCCGATTAGCTCAGCCTGGGAATTCGCCTCTCCTCCTCCTCCTCCTCCTTCTCCCAGTAAACAAATCCTGAAGGCTCCCTGGTTGCCATCACTCCCAAGTCTCTTCTTCTCCAAGACGCCAGTTTGAAGGAAGCTCAGAGATTTATTGGTGGGCCATGGGTGCGAATCATGGGCTGCCTTTCCTCAGATTTGGGTGAACTGCCTGGGCAGCCAGAGAGTAAAAGGAATCACGTTACAGTTCACTAGGGGGCGCTCTTGGTTTGGAATGCAATTCTTGTTGCTCGGCATTAGGGGGCGCTCATGTTGCAAGCGCATCCATTGGTACCATTTGTGAGCCATGCCTTCTGTTCCACTTATTTCACCCCTAAATCCTTTTTCATAACCCACCTTCTGCAAAAAAAAAAAAAAAAAGACACAGTATGGTGCAGTGGTTTGAATGCTGGACTAGGAGGGCTCCAGGAGACCAGGGTTCGAATCCCAGTTCAAGCCTGAAACCTCATTGGGTGACCTTGGGTGCAAATCACAACCGTATCACAGCATCAAAGGTGATAACAAAATATCCTCAGAATAAATCTTGCCAAGAAAGCCCTAGTAGATGAGTCACCAGAAGTCAGAGTCAACTTGAAAGCACACCATTGCAGCAAAATAATTTGTAAATCCTTCGAATGCTGTTGGACTACAAATCCCATCACTGGTGGGGATGCCAGGAGTTGCAGTCCAACAAACTTTAAATGTCTCCATTGATTGCACGGTGCTCTTGCCACCCACACAATTAAGACCTTCCTCTCTGAACTAGAATTAGTTATCCAGAAGTAACATGGAAGTATTTCAGGGAACGGAACGTCCTTTGTGTCAAATTGCTATCCAACAATGGATTAAATGGATCTCTTGTAGCTGGGATCCAACCCACAGGATTCCAGCCCTGCGTTTGTGTCACCTTGGATGCAGCGTAAGTATTCACCAGCGCCTTCAAGGTGCCACTTGATTCCCTGGAGTTGCAAAAATAGTCCCTGACGGAGCATTTCTCCCCCAACGTGGCACATTTTATTTTATTTATTTTATTTTTATCCCACCTTTTCCCCAAAGTGGGACCCATGGGAGTCTGAAAAGCCATTTTCCCCATGATATTGTTGCATGACTTCAAGTCACTTCTGACTTAAAAAAATGTGGGCCATTCAAGTTTCCTAAGGCTTCAGCCTTTGTTTAGGAAACAAAAATATTTAAACATCAAAAATATCAAAGCTAAGCCTCTTAAGATTTAGCTTTAAACCAGGAGAGCATCAGAGGACGGTTCTTGGTCTAAGGATGCTTCTTCTTTAAGACCTGAGACTGACTCAGAAACAACACAAGCAGCTTGCAGTTTAAACAAAAGTTTACTAATGGCTTCAACCTCCAAAGGCATAGAGAGGTCGCATCCTAACCTTTGAACTCTAGTTAATGAATAGTTCAGGTAGAAGAAGAAATCTTTATCTCACCATCTTTCCAAAGAAAGTTGAGAGAGGAGGAGGAGGAGGAGGAAGATGGGGGATCCTACAGAAGCAGGAGGAGAATCTCTCTGTATGAGAGAAAACTTCCTAAAAGGAAACATGCAAAAGGAAGTGACCTGAATCCCATGGTTTGTTTACCAGTTTACAAAGGTATTTATTGCCTTGGGATTTGGTAGGAGCAAACGGGAAGTTTGGATGAGGGGAGTCAGTGGAGTTGGCATGCAGGAAAACCCTTTCTATCTGAGGAAGGGAAGAGAGAGTGGTAAACTCTTCTAACAATGGCGACCCTCTGGGGTTTTCTTGGAAAGATTTATTCCTCCTCATATTGTGTTGGAATTCTGGGAGTCAGAGTTGCTTTAAAGAAACATTCCTCATCTCTGGTGGCCTTTCCCGTATACCTGAGTTTTGGAAATGCTGCAATGGCCTTTGGCCGGGGCAGTTTCGCTTCCAGGGATCTGAGCTTGCTGCAGCCTCATTTTTGCTCCTCCGCCTTCCTCCTCCAGGTATTACTACAACAAGCGGATCCTGCACAAGACGAAGGGCAAGCGCTTCACCTACAAGTTCAACTTCAGCAAGGTGGTCTTGGTGAACTATCCGCTGCTGGACATGGCGGCCAACTCCCCCTTTCTGCTGGCCCAGAACCCTTTCAATGGGGGCAACCATGGGGCTGACTGTGCCCCCCTCACCCCAGAGGTAGAGCAATGGAAAAGGGGCTAGCCACTTGCTGACCGCTGCTAGTTCATCCATTCTCCTTTCCTTTTCCTCCTTAGACCCTGCAAAGCCTCTTCTCCAACCCTCGCTTAGGGGACCCTGCCGCCCGCACCCCACTCTTTGAACGGCAAACGGAGACGGAAAAACTGCGCCTGGATGCAGCCTTCCCTTTCCTGGGGTCAGGTGAGAGCAATAGCATTCTGTGCCAAAGGCTGTGGCCAAAATTCACTTAGGGACGTACATCTTTGTAAGTGGACTTAGGTGTGCAGGAAAAAGAAGTGAGCAGTTTTGCAATGTCCACATTCATCACTATCACTATGTACGGAAGCCAGCTAAGTGACCGTTACGCCTCAAGATAATGGGACCCGCTTGCTGATGTCCTTTGCAATTTGCTAACTGGGTTCCTTAGCACTTCTGCTACACAGCTAAGTGTACCTAAAGATACATAAGATAGACTGTGATAGAGAATTCTGGTTCCTATTGTTAGTCCTGACTCAGGTTGACCCACTGAATCAGGGGGATTTACCCGTGTGTTGACTCTCCATGCAACAATTCTTTCAGCGGATCTGCTCTTTAGCAAGGACCAAACAACAGGATGTGAAGTCATAGGCTTAGTCAGAAAGCCTACAACTTTCTGAAACATCTGCGTTTCAGAAAGCCTACGACTTTCTTTCTGAAACGTCAGAAAGAAACTCTTCTAGAACATGGCCACACAGCCTGAAAAACCCACAAAAAACAACAGGATGTTGGCCAATATGAGATGTGTTAAGAATACAGTTGGCCCTTCACATTTGCAGATTTGATTATCTGTGGTTTTGATTAATATGTTCTCTCTAGGAATCTCTTGGTCCTCCAGAGCAACTCTGCCAGAAGTTGACCAAAGAGTTCTGATGGAGAACCTAGAAGTTCCTAGAGAAAACACTTCTCTAGGCATGTGTTGATCCTCCAGCATGATTCTATGGTCCACTTCTGGCAGATGTTGACCACAGAGTTGGTCAACCAAGAGATTCCTAGAGAGGTGTCCTCCCAGGTAAAAAGGATTGTATTTTTTATTTGAGATTTTCCCACATTCATGGGGTGTGTGTGTGTCCTTCACTCCTAACCCCAGTGAATGTGGAGGGACCATTGTACAAGGAATTTGGGGGTCACAAAGCAGGAGTTGGAGAATGCATGGTCCATGAGCCACATATGGTCTTTGTAGATATTGTTGTGTGGTTTCAAATCATTATGGGCCTCCTATGTGCCATTGGCCACCATTTTTGTGGGTCCTTGAGACCCAAGGCATGCGTGCCAAGGGAGAGGTCCATTTCAGGCCATTCACCCCACTTTCCTTCTCTCCCCCCACAGGTGTTGCCGGCTACACGAAGCCCCCCAGTTTGCTGACCCCCTACGGCCGGAATGCCTCCTTCCCCGACTACCCCTGGAATTTCAACCCTTACTTCTCCAGCACTTTCCCCCTAAGCAACGCCAAGCTCCCGGCCTCCCTCTACTCCCCCCATTTCTAC